AGCAAATTGAGCCCAAGACTAACAGTCGGAAAAACTTCACAGTCGAAAATGGCAGGGAGGTGACCACGTGGCGCAACTTGCAGTCTGATCGCCGTCTGCCTCCTCGGACGCTGCTAATATCGTGAAGTGGACGATTCAAAATGGCAACGAGTCCGTATGAAACGAGTACATTGAGTACAATTAAGCAGGCAAAGTACCAAAGTACTTATGGATGTACATGGATGTGTGATGGGTAGGTGAAGGGTCACAGTGTGATGGGTATGAAAAAAATGGACATTGTTTCATCAGCCGGGAAGTGGCAAGGTCTTCGCTGGTGTTCGAATGGAATTAAATATTCAAGGACGATGTGCTGCCTGATCAATAGCCAGTTTCGCAATTCTGCGGACCTCGTTCTCCGCCTCGAACGACGCCTTTACCTGCACAACACCTCCATTAAGCAGAGCGCAATAAGAACATACTGTGTCATACCTCTTCGTAGAATGCAGAATCTGTGAGCACGCGGAGCCCGGTCAATGCTAACCCCTTCGCCACTTTGAGAGTGACATCGTGCGCCTCCTGGGTTTGGGCAGAATGGGTGAACTGTGGCGTGTGGTTGCCACCGTTTACCTCAGTCGGAACAGCTACGGAACATTAGTCAGTCAGTCATCAAAGACAGGGTAAGACTGACCATAGAGAGGATGAATCGATGGCATAACTGTATACCTGTCAAAATATGATCGAGGAAACAAACTTAGAGATTACTCGCCGTATGAGACGTTACCCTATACATCGAATTCAGACTCTTAACTAAGAAGAGAAAGTCAGAAGATGCTTACAAAATCGGTGGACGCAGGGGAGTTGAGGTTGATAATGGTCATATCATATCGGCCTGAAACATTGGCACCAAATTCCCTGACTGCATAAGAGGTTAGACTCGAGGCAGAAGTGATAAAGATGCCTTTTAAGAACATACATAGAACAGAATTCTGGCGCAGGTCAAGGTAGGGAGGGATAACTTTGATGTCCACCGTACACCCAGCCGTCATAGCAGCACCACTAATCTGCCGTAAGACTGGGAAAGTGAAAAAATCGAATGATACACACTTGAAGCAACCTTCGAGGCGCTCTATTAACGCTTCCAACTCATCCTTGCTCGGAGCCCGGACGATGTATGTGAGCTTGGCGTTGTCGGGAATGACTGATGACACCAAATCAATATCCTGGAAGAAAGATTGAAAACTATGACACCTACTGTTTGGAGCCCAGTCGTTTCCTTCGATTATGCCATGGACGCGGAGATCTGGTTTCATTTGCTGGCGTAGAGACGAGATGGCGCTATAGGCAGTGACTGCCGCGTCAAGTGCATTGATTCCCTCCCTAGAAAGACAATCATAAGTAGGGAATTTTGCGTATGTATGTTTGTGGGTTACAGACCAAGGACTACCAGCAGCATGCGCCCTGAAGGAAGAAATTAGAAAAATGTATCACCTAAATTATCTAACACCAACGCACGGTTTGCCGCGGTACTCGGCATATATGAATCCAGCAGCGCTCATAGTGCCATTACTTACGAAGTTAGGTGGTCCAGGACCTGGGTGCGCCCTGGTGACATGTTAATGACCTGACTCGATGGAAACATGAAAGAAGGGGATTCGTACATGACACAAACGTCCATTTCCTGGTAGGCATCTCGGTCAATAAGAATAAGCTTTCCTCCGCCATCTTCCTCAGCTGAAGAAAATCAAGTTCAGCAAAAAAAACCGGGGGCATGCACGGATGACCCACCAGGTGTTCCTAGAAGAATGACCTTTCCAGCGATATCATGTGCCACCAATGCCTCCTTGACAGCGACTGCAGTCCCCAGGCCGCAAATTCCGATGAGGTTGTGACCACACGCGTGGCCGATCCCAGGAAGCGCGTCCATCTCAGAGTTCACGCCCAAAACGCGTCCACCGCTCCCAACGGTGAATTCAGCGCGCCACGCCGTCTCCAGTCCGGCGTAATGACGCGTAACGGTGAACCCGTGCTTCTCCATGAATTCAGTCATCACATCGTGGGCATAACTGATATCACCGCGTCAGTTCCCTACCTCTGCGATGAATTGGGATGACTCACTTCTCTTGGAAAGCCAATTCTGGGCGAGCTGTTGAACTGATTTCAGTACGAGAGTTCAAGACATACGAAGGCAGGGCTTACCGTGAACTTTGAGGCTTACTTCACGCAGCTCGGTGCTAAGCTCAGCTATCTTCGCTTCGACCGTCGCCACCACATCCGGATCGAGAACCAAGCCCTGGCCATCTTTAACCGCTTGGGGAGGGCTGTTTCCAGGAGTCAAGGTCGGGTTTGGCCCTGCACACAAGCAACGGCGGTGCTCGTGCTTGGATCAACATCAATCGCCAGAGTTATTTGTATGCCTGGATCTCGCGACGCACCTTGTCGTCTTGTACTTCGGTAGTAGAGCTCATGTGGTGAAAAGGTACACAGGATTGTGGGTAGAAACCCAGCTGCGGAACAAGTTGGTATTTAAATAGTTCACTTACATGGCCACCAGACCACGGTTATTCTGGGATATCAGATAACCGGCTGAATAAGGGGGGATTTTCCCCCGGCCCTGAGACAATGATCGGAAGAGAAGGAGCAGTCCCAAAGTCTGACTCTGCGGTTCAGACCTCTTCAACATGCACCGGTAAGTGTCGATGAATAAATATCTGTCCTGATGGAGGCAGAACCCTGAGACAGACATCGGAAGAGGAGGGAGTTCCGAAGCCTGACTCTTGAGCTTGAGGCTTGGACCTCTTTAACATGCAATATGCGGCACATGATACTTAGACGTGGGCAAATGTTAAAAATATCCAACAGTTCTCAAGCGGTTCAACCGTCAACCAACGTGTGAAAACGATATTGGCAAAAAAGGTAGTTCGTGGCGGATGTTGCGTCAATGATTACACCGGTGACTGGTTTTGCCATTGAGACACAGAGTAAAATGTTCATGCAGGACGAATTTTGACATTGGAACCTTGATAGCATGCATCCTCTCAAGATTGCATCATTCAAATTGGGCAAGTCATTAATATGTGCTGCTAACGACAAACGTCCTCCATGTCTCGACCTCTGGAGTCTCTTGTACATGACCGACCCTTCGTTTCTGCATAGACTAAGGTACCCTTCAAGTTTCTGGTGATATAGCAGTATCCTCTGTCAAGTGCTCAGATCATACATGGTCACTACTCCGTTAAAGAGTTATAACGCGGTTTGAAGGCTCGCTATGGGCTCCAAGTGGTCCTCATCGGGTTCTCATCGCCGAATGGCGGTGGCTTCCCCTGAGAGCCCCTGAGAACAATGAACTGATAATCAAGGGCGGTGCGTTCATCAAGTCTTTCTAACCTTTGGGGGTACGGTGTATTTTCTGAAGGGACCGTGTACAGTGTTCTTGTGACCGTCGAGTTTGATGGTGCTAACCATTATCTTCTGGCCCATTGATTACTAGTACGCTGCCTTGACGCTGCCTGTTCGAACAGGATCAGTCATGGGTCAAGACTAGGGTCTAGTTTGGAAACGATATAAATTCCACATCATCTCCTAACCGTACTCGACGACCTTTCTACGATGGCATCTACGGACTCCTCTCTCGTCGCATTCTTCAAGGCAGTGTCTGCCGCCAATACTACCTCTCAAGCTGTCCGTTTTGACCAGGTTATTTCCCCCACTGGTATCTACAACACCAATGGGATGTTCTTCGGTAAGCACGGTATACTTAATTTGAGTCTTACCGCTTACCAAGGTGGCCTTATCGACAGATTACGCGACGTACAAGGGTATCAGTGAATTATTTTTCAGCTTACACAGCAACGTCGAGGTGATAGCTGTTAGTGGATATACACCGATGGTGAAGTGGTTATCATGCTTGCCTTCCATATTTGGAGTCAGCAAGCGGCAGGGGTTCGATTCCCCTTCGGTGTACTGCCCAATCGTCACTTTTAGGTCTCTTCCTCGCATCGTGAGCCCAGTGTTTCATGATTTACAACTTCAAAAGGGACTAGTATTGGACAAACACTTTTTATCAGCTTGCCTCTTCATATAGATGATGCCTGATGTCACTACATCTATCGTTAACAACATGTGTAAATTCCTATTCACTTTATAACCCCCTACGTCCAATTGGCTCCCAACGCAAATGGACCGTCCACGACGTTCTACTCGACCGCCTGCACGCTTGGCCGATGCTATACCATCATCACCACCTCCTGCGACGCGACCAAAACGAAAAACACCTCACGATGCAGATCCAGCCGAACAACTCCATGTCCTGCTCACGAGCCCAAAGAGCGTGCTGACGACCTTGGACATCTCTGTACGTCCCCAACTGCCCCTGACCACCTCCCGGACCTCGAAATACCTACGTGTCTCCCAGGCTGCCGAGTCGCTCAACGCGTTTCGCAGGATCTCATCAGCGCCTCATCCTGGAACATGCTCTCGGATGAATCAAAGAATATCTTGAAGCCATTGCTACCACCAACTGCGTTCCTCGGATACAACGCTACTATAGGCTTAGATCATCCCTCTGCTGTGGCAAGCGACTCGATGACTGTTGACGACTCTCCTGCAAGCGATGTAGTCGACCCGGCCGTGTTCACAGATCCACACTTCCTGGCTGCGGCTCACACGCTACAAGATCACATATACTCGGGCTGGATGGATGATACTCATGCGCAGAAGGTGCTCAAGTACGAAGAGGGGATACGCAATGGCACGCTTGCCGCTCTATGGAAGGACGAAGTCTGGGAGCGCAACAATGATGGCCCTCGCCCAGTTGCTGAAATACCCATCAATGGAAACAGTATTCCAGGCGATGCGAGAGCGGGGTAAGTTGTCCCAAACCTACCCTCAAGACCTTGAGCTCACTAATTCGCTTCTAGCCATGCCGCCGAAGTCAAACTGGTCGCACTCGCACAAGAAGGGGTGCTACAAGTGGGTGACATCATCGTTCTACGGCGCAACTTCACTGGGCTCGACATTGTCGTTGAGAAAGATGCCATTGTATGTCCCCCCTTCCTTCGTATCGTACAACTCATTTCAACCTCACCCTTCTCGTTAGATCCGATCTATACATCCGAAAACGCACGCCCTCACCATCCTCCTCGAACCTGGGACCTCCACACATCTACCTGGTCCCCTCCTTTCTCCTCACCCTGCTGCGCCCTCGGGACTCACTCAGCAGGCAGTCGTCACGAGCCCGTCGCAGCTGGAGACCGTGCTGCTGGACAACGATGGGCGGGTCGAGCGCGGGAAGCGTCCGAATGGAAATGCATGGAAGGTGATGACAGTGTGGCGATGGCGGGGCACTGCACCTTGGGAGGACGTGGGCGATGGGAGGTGGGGGCGGGAGAACCATGGGACTTTGTTTTACTTGAGAGGAACCTACTACCACGAGCGATGAACTTTGAAAGAAACGTTATACATACATACTGGTCGGCCCGAATCTTGAGTGCACGTCTGCCCGAAACCTAAGCAATAGGATCCATTATTGGAAGTCGCATCAGTGGCTAGCACTCAAATTATACTGTTTAATCAACTTCCTATCGATCTTTATTTGAGGCGACTCGGATAGAATCACATTCTCATAGTAGAGGTACATATATATTATTAGTCCCCATAACGACACCATCTACTGCACAAGCTTCGCGTTCTCAGACATGATCTTGTTAAGACCGTCCCTCTTCAAGCACGCATCGAACTTGAAGCTGGCAGCGATCTCATCGATCTCCTCGAGGGACTTGCCCTTAAAGTGGTCGGCCCACTCCTTGATCATGAACTCAGAGATGAGGATGTTGCGGGAGAGGCGGGTGATGCGGGAATCGAGCTTCCAGACGGGATGGGGGTAGATGTTCTGGTACTTCTCAGGGATTTCCTGGAGGACGTGGTCGATGAGGGGCTGGTAGACCTGCTTGACGGCAACGTCATCCGCACCCCAGGCATCGATGGCGAGACGGTGCTTCTTGGCGAGGAAGTCCTTGAAGAGAGTCATGTAGGCAGTCTCGGTGGAGACGTAGACCATGCCCTGGAATCCGATGTCCTTGTAGGTCCAGATCGACCAGCTGAGGCGGTCCTGTGAAATCAGTTAGCATCGAGAGCTATGATGGACAAACGAGACCGTTCGTACCTCGTTGTAGATCGCGAGCTGATCCTTGAGAACCTTGTAGCGGGACTCGTTGATGCTCTCAGTCGCCTCACCCTCGTACTGCTTGCGTGCGTAGACGGGGCCCCACTCGCCGTTCCAGACGCAGAGCTTGCGCTCATCCATCCACTCGCGCTTCTTCTCGTAGCTGCGCTTGAGACGCCTACGCTGCTCATCAGAGCTGGTGTAGACCTCAGAGGAAGCGGGGAAGCCGAAGGAGGAGTAATCGTGGATGGAGTAGGCGGTGTTCTCCCACTGCTTGTGAGCATCACCGAAGTGAGAGAAGTCGGAGGCAAAGGTGTTGCCGTCGAAGAAGATGGCGTGGTCGGGGTCAATGGCACGGATGGCTTTGTGCACGCGATCGTAGAAGGCGATAACGCGGGTGTGTTTGGGGTCAGTGGGTTCGTTGAGAGGGTTGTAACCGGCGATCCACTTGTTGCCCTTGTAGTGGGCAGCAAGCTGCTCCCAGAGCCAGACGGAGCGGTCAAGGAAATCCTTGTGGTTCCAGACTGAGATACAAATAAGCATACAAAACAGTGGTTAAAAGTATATACACACAGTTGGCAATGTGGGAGCCGTGGTCGGCGTGCCAGTCAGTGTTCTGGCCACCAGGGGCGGTGTGGAGATCGAGGATCGTGTAGATGCCGTGTGCGGCGCAGATGTTGATAACACGGTCGAGGTGCTTGAACCCAGACTCTTTCAAGACACGGGGGTTCATGTCATCTAAAAAGAAATGAAATGAGCGAGAAGGAAAGTACGATGGTCGCCAAGGGACGAACCTTCAAAGTGGCGGTAGTTGAAGGGGAGACGAATGCAGTTGAGTCCGAGGCTCTTGAAGAAAAGAGCATCGGCATCGGTGAAGAAGTACTCGAGGAACTAAGAAAGAAAGTGATTAGATCTTGATGGCTAAACGCAATGATTATCCTTACTTTGTCGAAGAAGAATTCCGACTTCTCATCGCCAATGGCCTCCGCGAGGGCCTCACGGATCTGGTGCTCGCAGCCAGGGTATCCTGTAGGAAAGATCAGGCTAGATCTCAGATTATTAGATTGATGAAAATACCAGAGATGAAGTTCTCCATGCTGTATGATTGACAGTCAGTAAGGGTCCAGTGTGGGGGTGGGGAACAATGCACTCACTTCATCCATCCTCCAAGACCAGCACCCCGAAGAATGACTTCGCTGCCCTGCTCGTCGACGAGTTTGGTTCCAGAGACTTTGAGAAGAGACATGATGGGGGAATAATGGAATGTTTTTTTAGGCCCACCATGATCTTTTTATGCGATTCAGGAGATGTGCGGGTTTTGGGGTTTGTTGGGGCTCCACCCGAACATGACACGGGCCGGAAAGAGAGCCTCGGCAAGTGATGGTACCTTTGGGGGTTTATCCGATGGATATGATCATAATCATACTGACAACTTTCCCCCAGAATGAACTCCTTCACGGATGCTAACGTCGATGAGCACGTCGACCTCGTCGGTGGCCCTTTTGCAGTCATCGAGTCTGATCCAGGTCAGCATTGACACGTCGTCAATAATACCCATGTTCTCAAAGGATACTCAGGCGTCTTTACATCCCTGACGCGTAATTTGGGTGTTCGCAACATTGAGCTCGTCGAGATGTACGACATCGAACCCTGGGCTGTGGATCATCTCAACCCCCATGGTCTCATTTTCTGTTTCCTTTGGCGCAAGGATGCCCATCGGCCAGGAGAATTCAATGACCCCGCAGCAGAACGCGTGTGGTTTGCAAACCAGCTCAGTGATGACGCTTGCGCTTCGCATGCTATTCTCAATGTACTTTTGAACTGCCCGGACGTCGACATTGGTGGCGAACTACGGAGATTCAGGCAGGATACTGAGAAAATGTCGCCTGTGGTACGTTTCTGAATCCTCGGCACGTCGGGTTCGACCTTCGGGATTTGACCGAAAGATCTGTAAATGCCAAGTTTTGTTGGTCGAACTTGTGATGGTTTCCGTTACTAGTCGGACTCAGTCGGCCATGCACCATAAGCTTGTACTGCGACAAATGGCTTTCATTACTGACGGGCTTTGCACTCTGTTAGATGAAGGGGCTCGCGATCACGAACTCGCATCTCCTCCGTAAAGGGCACAACTCTCTAGCTCGGTAGGTAAATCACTTTCCCTCTCCCGTGCCTTGAATTGGTAATAACAAACCCAACCTGCATCCAGGCCTGCCGACCTCCGTGGCGCCCTGAACGTCATTGCCATAACCACTCTCGACGAAGCCAAATCCAAAGCAAAGGCCAAGACGACCTCGACGACGAAACGTGGAACCAAACCCCCGCCAGCGAAGCGCGCCAAAACAGTCACGAGTAAATCATCCCCTTCCAAGGCGAAAGACAAACCCAAGCCCAAGGCGGAAGCAGAAGAGGAAGATGAAGCGTACCACTTCATCGGATATGTACCTTCCTACGGGAAGGTTTGGGAGCTTGACGGGCTCAAGTCGGGGCCTCTCGAGGTTGGCGAGCTGCCTTTGGCACCATCGTCGGCGGCTTCTGGGTCCAAGAGCGGATGGATGGACATCGTCCGGCCAGCGCTGAGGATGAAGATGGAAAAGTACGGAGGCGCGGCCGAGGGCGGGGACAACATCCGCTTTAGCTTGCTTGCCATCGTGGACGGGGTATACGAGGAGGCGAGCGATGCCTTGCAACTGCTGAAGCGGGAGCGGATTGCGCTGGAGAGGCAGATGGGGGAGGGGTGGGAGAATAAGGCCCGTTCTCGTTCCTTACCTCACATTCTATCGCAAGTAGCTAACCTACTATA